CTTTCAGGAATTGGCCTCGCACGGCCGCGAGACGACCGAGGGGTGAAAGAGTAAACTCGGGTGCGGCCGCTGCCACCATTACACGTTGGGTGTGGAGTATCGGAGCGAATGATGATTTTGTAGGAGCCGTCCAATTAATCGGTCATAATCAATCCTCCGTTCCATTTACTATAATTGTAGAATATATACGTGTTGGAGGTAAGGCATTTTATCCTTGAACATTATTTTTGCCATTTATTTATGAACCCTGTCTTGCCGCTGCCTCTTGGAAGAGTCCATTGTTAGTCACATCTTATAAGCATAAATTTCTATCAATGATCCAGCCAAAATAGTAATATTAGGAAGACATGACTACCAATTGCTTCTTGTTGTATCGGTTGTATTTGAAATAAGAGGATGTTGAACGTTGAGGAAAAATGTATTTCTTATTTTTTTTAAAAAACTTAAACAAATACATGTGAAATAACTTTGTTGGCCTTTCACACGGTTGCCGTGTGGTACTCATACTGTAAGTTTGTATCAAGCAAAGTTTTAAAAAATAAAAATAAAAAAACGAAAATATATTACAAACTTAGATTAAAAAGTTCATACGAAGTGATAGAAAGTGTTTTTTTTTTTAAGAAAAATATCTTAGCATAGACTAAAGAGTTCATACAAGGTGAATCGTCATGAGGAAGATAATTACGCTGTCTTGGTATATGATTCCAACTCATCATATTTGTCTTCCCAGCACAATTGTCAAGTTTGTGAGACTCCATTAGATTTCTTTTAGGTTCTACATAAAATAGATTAAGTGGTTTGGAATCCGACAAGATCATCCATTGGAGATGGATGTTCTGTCACCCCCAAGAAGATGATACGGTGCAACGACCAGAACAATGATGTTGTTCTCTTGGCCCCGGCGGTTGTATGTAACCCACCCCTGCGACATCGAGGACGCTTGGGAGAGAGAATATACAGAAATACTAGAACTATATAGAGCAGTAAGCTGATGAAATATAAAGAAGAATTATTTTTTATACGAATAAGTACTGAAAGATCCTAACATATAACAAAATTAAATAAAAATTACAATCAAATATGATACCAAAATTTACATAAAAATTTTCTCTAACTTAAAGTGTAAAAATCACAGGACAAACCAGAGATAATCCACTATAAGAATAATGAATATACAAATCTCAAAGTCTTTTGCCCAAAACCTAAGTAACAATCTGAAAAGAATAACTATGATACAAGGATTACATTACTGTGCATAATATTCAAATTCTCCCCAAGTAATCACAGTAATAATCTACTAAAAATCTAATCTCACCTGAAATGAGAATACTGTAGAATAGTCTTTCTGTGTTGTCCTTGTCTTCTTTTCTTTCTTTCTCTTGTTTTTGTATCATTTTCTCTTCCTTTTTTAATCAAGATACTACTGCAATTTTCTACCTCATTGTTATAGTTTTTCCTCTTCTATTTTCGCATCCCCCACACCCCCCTTATTAGATCTAGGGTTTGACTTGAAAGGGGGGTGTGTTGTGGGCTATTAAAGCCCACTATGAGCTAAACTTGTGGGATGTTAGCCCAATAACCTTCCCCTTTAGCCCATAAGAGATGTTGCCTCATGACTTCTCAATGTGAAATCATGTTGATCAACTATCGACATATCTCCTATTTTTCTTTTGGTAATATCTTTGTCAACATATCTACTCTATTGTTATCTATGTGAATTTTCTAAAGCTACATTTCAAATCCAATAGTATCTGACATTTATATGCTTTAACTTGGAATGAAAAGTTGAATTCTTACACAAATGAACGATACTTTGGCTGTCATAATTCATCACATAATTTTTCTATTTCAACATTAATTCCTATAAGAATTTTTTCATCCATAACATTTATTTGCAAACCTCTATAGCAGCAATATATTCTACCTCTGTCGTGGGGAGAGTAATACACCTTTGTAATCTAGATTGTCATAACACAGCTCCCCCTGTAAAAGTAAGTACAAAACCTGATGTGGACTTCCTCGTATCAATATCTCTTGTCATATCTACATCTGTGTAATCTGTCAACACAGGTGGTCTACCACTAAAACTTAAACAAACCTTAAAGCTCCCACTAAGATATCTAAAAATTCACTTCACTATTGTCCAGTGCTCTTTGCTTGGATTTGTAAGAAATCTACTATAACACTCACTGCATATATGATATCCGGCCTTGTACATACCATTGCATATATTAAACTTTCAACTGCTGAAGTAAATGAAACTTTTTGTATTTTCTCATTCTCCTTATCACTTGATGAACTCTGTTCTGAGCACAACTTGAAGTAACCTGCAAGAAGAGAACCAACTAGCTTTGCATTACTCATACTGAACCTTTCCAATACATTCTCGATGTATTTCTCCAGTGACAACCAAATCTTCTTGAATTTTTTGTCACGAAAAATCTACATGCCTAGTATTTGCTTTGTTGGTCCCATGTCCTTCATTGCAAAAGACTCACTAAGTTCCTTCTTCAACCTGTTAATTGTAGATATATCTTTCTTAAGGATAAGCATGTCATCAACATAATAAAGTAAGAGAATAATAAAATTCTTACCAAACCATTTAATGTACACATAGTGATCTGAAGTCATTCTTTTGTATCTATTTTCTGTCATAAATGAATCAAACTTTCTGTATCACTATCTTGGAGCTTACTTCAGCCCATACAAGCTCTTTCTCAACTTGTAGACAAAGTTCTCTTTACCTTTGACTTTGAAACCTTATGGTTGCTCCATATAAATTTTCTCTTCAAAATCACCATGAAGGAAAGATGTTTTCGCATTTAATTGCTCAACCTCTAAGTCCTAGCTAGTAGCAATATCAAGAGCAACATGAATACAAGATATTTTAATAATAGGAGAAAAAATCTCTTCAAAGTCAATACCTTTCTTTTGACCAAAGCCTTTCACAATCAATCTAGTTTTATACTTTAGTTAAGAATAATATTCTTAAGTCTTCAACCTAAAAACTCAATTATTCTTTAAGTCCTTCATTTTCTTTGGTAGTTGCATCAAATCATAAGTGTAGTTCTTCTGAAGAGCATTCATCTCTTCCTGCATAGCAACTAACCACTTCTTTTTCTGCTGACTTTCAATTACTTTCTGGTAACTCTTTAGTTTACCTGCATCATTAAGCATCACATACTCATTTGTAGAGTATCTTTTGGAAGGTTGACGTTGTCTAGAAGATCTTTTCAATTAAGGTTCTGTGAGAAGTTGCTCTCCAACTTCTTCTTGCTCAACATGTCCAGTAGGTAGATCAACATCAGACCCTACACCATCTTCTTGCACATCTCCCTCATCACCCTGATATATACTGGAGGAGTAATTGGGTCACAATATGCTAATTCTTCTGTAGAAGTCTTGGCTGGTGCTTTCTTCTTCAAATTCTTAAATGTTTGATCCTCAAAGAAAACTACATCTCTGCTTCTAAACATCTTTTATTTTTTTGGAACCCAAAGCCTGTAACCAAACTAATAATGTGAGCAGCCAAGAAAAATACATTCTTTTGTCTTGCCATCTAGCTTGGACCTCTCAGGAACATATGCAAATATATGACAACTAAACACTCTCAAATGCTTGTAGGAAATATTTTTCCCTAACCATATATGCTCTACAGCATCACCATCTAGGGTTGTACATGGTGACAAGTTGATCACATCAACTACAGTCCTCAAAGCCTCATCCCAAAATTTTTTGGGTAACTTGGCTTGTGAAAGCATACATCTGATCTTTTCTAATGATAGTGCGGTTTATCCTCTCTACAATAGCATTATGCTGAGGTGTACCAGGAACTGTCATCTCATATTGGATTTTATGTGACCTGCAATAATCATTAAACAATCTTATATACTCACCACTATTATCTGATCTTATACATTTCAATTACCTTTCTGTCTCCTTTCAACTCTAGCATGAAACTCTTTGAAGACATTAATAACCTGATCTTTGGTCTTCATAGCATAGGCCCAAACTTTCCTAGAAAAATCATCTATAAAAGTGACAAAATAAAGTGCACCATTGATACTAGGAATATTAATAGATCCATCAGGAGTTTTTGTCCTCAAAGGGCCACATATATCTGTATAAACATGGTCTAAGACATATATTTTTCTAGACATAGTAGGACTAACAAATGAAACTCAATATTGTTTACTAGCCAAACAATCAATACAAGAGTTCAGATGTATACCTCTGAGGTCTGGCAATACCTCTCTCTTAGGAAAGAGCTTGCAGCCCCTTCTCACTCATGTGTCCT